AGGGGTAGGGGTAGGGGAAGGGCCAAGATAGCCCTTCAAACGAAGATTTTTTGGGACCACACTGGAAGAGGGGGAAGGGCTAAGGGGTAGAATTGGGATTGGGCCTAAGTGGCCTCAACTACTATGTACTTACTTTTAAATTAATCATTTTGTACAGTGCACTTATTGTGTACATGTTTTTACATTGTACTTATATTTTAAAAATTGCATGCATGTAATTACATCTGTAATTCATTTCTGTAATTACATTTATAATTACACTGTTGACCCATCCCTTACACCTTAACCCACCCTTAAACCTACCCAGACCACCAAACCTGTCACTAACCTTACCCCTATCCCACCTCAATAGCAGCAAAAGTGTTTTGCAATACAATATAAACACAATAAGTACATTGTACTTATTTTTTTATTTAAGTACATAGTAGTTAAGGCCACTTAATATAAAGTGGGACCCTAAGTTGTAAAGGGAATGGACTTTTTTGTTTTTGAAAGAAGCCTCTTATTAACAAGGCTGCATTTATTTGATCAAAAATGCAGTAAAAACGGTAATATTGTCAAATTATTCGTTCGATACAAAGCTGAATTTTCAGCATTCTTACTCCAGTCTTCAGTGTCACATGATCCTTCAGAAATCATTCCGATATAGTTTTTTTTTACTTCATAACCCAGTAATGAATATAGCACAAAAAATGCTAAATTAAGATATTCAAAGCAAGTTCATCATAGAAGGGTCTATTAATATATACAAAAATACATTGAGAAAGAGATATATTGACGTATGTATTTTTGAGTATATTAATAGAGAAAGAAATGAACATGTCATTGACCTACCAGCATCTATGAAAGGAAAATACTGTAGCTTTTAAAAAACTTAATTATTGTTTCTCACTTTATCCATGGTGATTTGAGCTCTCTGACGTGTTTTCTCTTTATTTCAGTACGCGAGATGATCCTCCATCCTTACGAGACGCAGTCTGACAGCTTCTACTTTGTGGACAACAAGCTGGTCATGCACAACAAAGCAGATTATTCATACAGCGGAGGCCCTTAGGACGGCCGTGGGAGGGGACTGAGGCAGAGAGTTTGACTGACAGACCTAAGAACCAATCACATGTCTTTGTCCAGCAGTCACACCCTCCTTGAATCAGTGTCATAGACGACTGCCTGCAGTGCGCCATGCCTGTTTTTGAGATCTCTCGAGTCATATCATAAGGTCTTATCCAGTGCATACATATCCTATTCTGATTTCACACTGCCATCATTCACATCAGCAAATATAGATATTAAAGTGTTTATTTTGCATAAGCAAGGCACTGTAATGTGAATGGTACTTAGGTTTTCTGTTCATCATGTGCGTGCGACGTGCGTGTGTATGTGTGGGTTTTGATTCAATGATTTTGTGTGTGTATGTGTGTGAGGGTGGTGTTTAACTCTGATAAGACCATTATATATCGTTGATGTTGATGAGTATTTCTTTCCCTGTCAGAATAAGCTACATCATATTTCATGATATTTGTGAACTTTTCATCCTGAATAGAATATGATATGATTTTATGGTGAGACCTTGACATAATTGATAGATTTGTGTTGCATTAGATATATTTTGATACGTGAACAAACTATTTGTGTGGATAAAAACTAGTCAAATCAGTTCAAACTTTCATGGTGCGCAACCTTCATGGATCTGTCGAAACGAAGGACTTTTGCTTTCAAAGGTCTGCATAAAGTTTCTGATTATACATAATTCACACTGCAAACGAGAGGTTGTGTAGATAAATCAACATTGTGAAAAATGCCTACTGAAAAGGGAACACGGCACACATTACAAGCCTTGACATTTCAAACGTCTGGTTCGTGTGGTTTCTTTTTGTCTTCGTTCAAAACAAGAGGAAAGAAATGGCCATTTTGAGCCGTTTAAAGAACAGTAGTTCAAAGAGGTCCAGAGATGCGGTCTCTTCTCATCTCCATCTAGCATTCCTTTTCTCACACATTCCAGCGAGCCAGACCCTTCATGGCTGTGTAGTGCACATAGCAGAGGTTCGATTTAACATCTTATCCAAGGATGTGTTGTATGTATGATCCTTGTATTCATAGTGCAAAAAGTGCATTTAGGAGAATGATTTTCATGTTTTTGGTTTATGAATAAAGAGGAGGCTTTCAAAGACTTCTATAAGCGCGTAAAACGGAGGAACAACTTGAAAAATGTTTCTAGTCAGATGTAATATGGGCTTTATTTATGATTGTGATTTATTGTAAATTATTTTTTGGGGGGGTGGATGAAACGTATGTTTTGGACAGTTCAAATGCCAGTCTGGAATAAAAGAGAAATAAATGTATATGTTGAATTTTTTTTTAAATTATTGAAGTTGTCTTTTTTTCCCCTTAGCCTTTTATTTTCTTATAAATGTTTGTTTCATATTTTTCATTTAGTGCTTAGCACAAGTTTATATTTAAATTATACACGTTACTGTTAAAAAATGGGTCCAGTAAGAATTTTTTTAGAAAGACAATACTTTTATTCAACAAGGAAATCAAAGCTTTTGTTGTTGGGAAAAAAAAAAACTATTTCCAAACAATGCTGTTCTTTTAGAATTTGCATCCTTCAAAAAATCCCCCCAAAAAAGCGAATCATGGCTTCTACAAAAATATTAAGCACCACAACTTTTGCATCAAAATTGGTATATTAAAATGATTTCCAAAGGATCATGTGACACTGAAGACTGGAGTAATGACTGCTGAAAATTCAGCTTTGCATCACAAGATTTTATTTAATAAAATAAATATAGCCTTGGTAATCAAAAACCTAAACTTTTGATCAGTAGTGTAATGAGTTAAATTACATATATATAATTTAAAAAATCTGTAAAATATATGCAGGTCCTAAGATTTGCAATTTTTCTTTAATAATATAAATGACACTTTCTGAGATAATTACATGAAATACTTGAAATCAATTCCCAACAGTATTGTTGCTGCAGGCTGTAAATGAAATTTCTCACAAGACTGCACAAAATTCGTTTTATTTGAGAAAAGGCACATATTCTGAAAAATGCTGTGACTTTTGTTTCAAGTATTTACTTCTACAAAGTAGGGGCAACTGTCTGTCTTAACAGATAAAGATTTTACGATTCAGCCGTGTATTAAAATGTATTAAATAGACTGATCCAAAAAGGGATCTAAAATATAAAAGGTCTTGTCCAGACCCTATAAATTAATTTACTTTTCGTGAACCAGCACAAATGAAAGACCAGAAAACCTACTTGTGAAAACCAAACCCACTGAGAATGTAGAAAAAAAAAAGCTCTGTATGAACCAGATTTTGCCCACACTGGGCTAGCAAGAGCGCTACATGGAAGCCAACTCACATTTACAAAGTCCTCATACTTGAGTGACTTTAAAGATGTAAATAAGTGATACAGAATTTCGAACACTATGGAGGCTGTAAATCCTTACCTGCCACTTATATAGTGCTTGAAAAGATACTGTCTAAAGCAGGGCTGTCCAAACTTGGTCCTGGAGGGCCGGTGTCCTGCAGAGTTTAGCTCCAACCCTAATTAAACACACCTGAAACAGCTAATCAAGCTCTTACTGGGCATAGAAACTTCCAGTCAGGTGTGTTGAGGCAAGTTGGAGCTAAACTCTGCAGGACACCGGCCCTCCAGGACAGAGTTTGGACAGCCCTGGTCTAAAGGTTTGAGAAAAACTGAGCTTTTGCTCCAGAGGGAAATGATGAGGAGACGGACGCTACATGCTCTGCATACTGTGACCCTTTTGTCCATTTGATGATGGTATTTTTTGGAGTAGCTTCCTTTCCCCCCTCTCTTTCCCTTCAGTGTTCTCATGAAACCAAAGAATTAGATGTGAAGATTTTCATGGTGTACTTGTTGCATTTGTGGTGTTGGCCCATGCGGGAAAGGTTCCTAGATTAAACATGGCCATTCCCCATGTGTTGATGCCAAGGTTGATGCTTAGAATGCCAATGATGTTTAGAATGAAGCCTACCTTTGCCTTCAAACAAAAAGCAAATACAATTACCCACACATTTTTCCATAAACAGTGCCTCAAAAATGTATTTTGACATTTAACTCCCAGTTAAACTTCCACTGGAACATCAAAACTAATGTGAGGGAGGAAGACTCATGTAAAGTGTGTTCAACCATACCATATCCAAGACTTTGAGGTTGCCATAGGAGAAAGCTTTTTGCAAAGTGATTTCTGTTAAATAAAATATCTCCTTTTGAATTGGACTTTGAGCTTTGTAACTTTGCAAATCTTTTTTATGCTCAAACAGCATCATTACAGACTCACTAAAGTTGAAAAAGTGAAAAAGCATAATAGGACCCCTTTAAGTCATCTTGTGTCCCACACGCTGGTTGAGAACCACGGTATTATATTAAATTATACCTCACTTCCTCTTGCCAAGGCAAATCCTCCACCCAGGAGCAGCACTATGTTCCAAGGCATGTGTTCATGTATCACCTTCCAGTTTAGAAGAGTGGGAGTACCCCTCAGTTTGTTCTTCTTGTCCTTCTTCTGTTTTTCTTCTTTTTAATAAAACAGACAGTCCAGTAAATTTGGTTTAAGACCTAGTTTAAACTGATGGCACAATGTTTCGTTCAAATACTCTGAATGCAGAAGCACCTTACCTTCCCCCACTCCTTCAGCTTCTTCATCATGTTCATCATTTGCACTGACAGAACATGAACAGTCTAGCCGAGATGGAATGATGAAGAACAGGGTTGACATGAAAATGGCCACAGTGCCATCGGTGACATATCTTCACCGAGGAAAATAGAAAGAAATTAATATGCAAAGAAGATAACTTTTTTTATGTGAACGATTTCTTAAAGGTTTTTGGGTGAAGTTTACTCACTGTCCATTTTTGTTAAAGAGCTCAGTAGCCCAGCCTGGCATGAACCCTGGTTCTCGTGTGAACCACAGGATCACCAGGATCACAAAGATGACAAGCACTGCGCCCTCAGCAAAAGATATCGGGCCCAACTTCTTGTATTCATTTTTCATCACTCTGTAAGCTTCTTTGTCTCCCTCATTTTTCAAACCGCAGCCAAAACTGTTTTTTAAGCTGAAAAACAAAATCACCTCAAATTGAAATAATCTAATAACACTTACTTTATGTCCTAGACACACTATGTAATTTAATGTAAAGCATGCAGGTTACTTACTTAAATCCCAAGTACATGAACTGCAGCCAAAACCAAGAGAGCGCAAGCATCAGCACCATGTTAGGAAAGGCAAAACCGAACCAGCTGGCAAAGTTGATCACGTCATTGTTATCTGGAAAAATGCTGCAAAAATATGTGTGAGAAGAGACCTTGCTCCATTACTGTTTGCACATTTGTATGTTGTAGGTCTAACAGTTTGTGTGCACAACAATGCACAACACCTATATATATATATATATATAATGTATTATTATTAAAATAACAGGATATTTGACAGACATACTCATCCATCTGGCCCTTGAGAATAAGATTTGGTGTGGTGCCCGTTAGGGTGGCAGTTCCTCCAATGCTGGCAGAGTAACACACAGATAGACTCATTCCTTTAAAGAGACGAAGGTACTTCACTTCACGTTCTTTCCTCCTGCGTTCAGAGAGTGCATTGATTCTTGCCTCCAGATCTGGGTTGTCTGTCAAAATTTAGGTGGGATGTAAGTTTTAAGACTGTGCTTTATTACCACTGATTGGTAAAATAGGCAACACTGTATTCTCGAACACTAATTTCTGTGACCCTTTCACTCTCTCATTTCATATAAAAGCATGGCACCACTTTGCATCTCAGTTATCGGTTGTAGTCAAAATGAGCTTTTTGAAACTTCAGATCAACTGAACCAATTGCTTCACAAAATGATTCATTCTTTGGAAGCTTTTGAAACATGAATGCTCGCTTCATTTGAGATTGTCAAAACGGTGTAGAGGCAATGAAAACACAGCCCAAATGCAAACACAGTTTACAAACCAGCTGCAAAATTTTTAATAAAAGTGTAATATACATATAATAATATAATAATAAAAAAAAACTGAACCTACATTATAAAACAGGCCCGAGATCAGTTAAACCCATTAATTAGCTGGTTCATTGGTTTCCATTTATCATTTAGCAGACGCTTTTATCCAAAGCGACTTACAAATGAGGACAATAGAAGAAATCAAAACCAACAAAAGAGCAATGAAATGTGCTATGATAAGTCACAGTTAGTCTTACACAGTAAATGTAGCAAGTTTTTTTTTATTATAAATAAAAAGAAAACAAGTCGAAAGAATATTAAAAAAATAGAGAACGCTAGTGTTAGAGGGTCATTTTTTAGAATAGAGAGTGCAAGTATTAAAGGGTGAAGTTTTTTTTAGTAAATAAAAAGAAAACAAGTAGATAAAATAGAAACAGATAGTGCAAGTGTCAGAAGGTCAAGTGTAGATGGAAGAGATGTGATTTTAGCCACTTCTTGAAGATGGCTTAAGACTCAGCTGCTCGGATTGAGTTGGGCAGGTCATTCCACCAGGAAGGTAAGAGTCAGTGAAAGTGATTTTGTGCCTCTTTGGGATGGCACTACAATGCACCGTTCATTTGCAGAACGCAAGTTTCTGGAGGGCACATAAGTCTGAAGTAGTGAATTTAGGTAAAGAGGTGCAGAGCCGAGGTTGTTTTGTAGGCAAACATCAATGCCTTGACTTTTTTGCAAGCAGTTGGTAGTCAGTGCAAATTGAAGAACAGAGGTGTGACATGTGCTCTTTTTCGCTCTTTAAAGACTAATCTTGCAGCCGCATTCTGGATTAGTTGTGGAGGTTTGATAGAACTGACTGAAAGATCTGCCAAGAGAGTGTTGCAATAGTCCAGCCTGGACAGAACAAGAGCTTGAACAAGGAGTTGTGAAGCATGTTCCGAAAGAAAGGGCCTGATCTTCCTAATGTTGTATAATGCAAATCTGCAGGACCGGACAGTTTTAGCAATGTGGTCTATAAAATTCAGCTGCAATGTGGTCTGTGAAATTTAGCTGATCATCAATCATGACTCAAAGGCTCCTGGCTTTTCTTGAATGAGTTATGGTTGTTGGATAGCTGGATGGTGAAATTATGATGAAGTGATGGGTTGGCAGAAACCACAAGCAATTCTGTCTTGGCAAGGGTGAGTTGAAGGTGATGGTCCTTCATCCAGCAAAAAATGTCTGTTAGACATGCTGAGACTCAAGCAGCTACCGTTGGATCATCAGGATGGAATGAGAGGTAGCGTTGAGTGTCATCAGCATAGCAGTGATATGAAAAGCCATGTTTCTGAATGACAGAACCTAGTGATGCCATGTAGACAGAGAAGAGAAGTGGTCCAAGAACTGAGCCCTGAGGCACCCCAGCAGCTAGATGTTGTGACTTTGACACCTCAGCCCTCCAAGATATCTTGAAGGACCTATCTGAGAGGTAAGACTCGAACAACTGGAGTTCAGTTCCTGAGATGCCCTTTGCCAACAGGGTTGAAAGGAGGATCTGGTGGTTAACCAAGTCAAAAGCAGCGGACAGATCCAGCAAGATAAGTATTGAAGATTTGGAAGGACATGTAGATGTGTATATGCTGTGTCAGGAACCATGTTGAGGTTAAGAGTGAAGAGGAAGTGATCCAATGTGTGCAGTGGAGTAACCAGCACATGATCAGTGGAGCAGTGGCGTGTGTAAATAAGGCCCAATTGGTTACCTAATTTGTGAGTAGCCGCAGTTAACACTCGCTCGAGATCAAAAGAGGCAAGTAGAGTGTGGAAGTCTGCAGCCTGAGGTTTATCTAGGTGTATGTTGAAGTCTCCAAGCATAACCAGAGGAGTACCATCCTCTGGGAAGTTTGAGAGCAACACATTTAACTCCTCCAAGAAGTTAGTGGTCCTGGGGGTCGATAAACAACTATAAAATTGATTTTAAGAGGGTGGGTGATAGTAAATGAATGTGATTCAAAGGAGCTGTAGATACCCAGAGATGGTAAAGGATTAAATTTCCAATCATTAGAGATAAGCAGACCAGTACCTCCACCTCTTCCAGTCAGACGAAGGCTGTGGGAAAAAGAGAAATTATTGGAAAGGGCTGCAGGTGTAGCAGTGTCCTCTGGTTTGATCCAAGTCACTGTCAGGGCCATGAGGTTGAGCCTTGAATGACTATTAATAGAAGTGATGAATTCTGCTTTGTTTACCGCAGACTGGCAATTCCAGAGACCAATAGGAAAAGAAAGTAGTGTATTAGCGGACATAGGCAAAATGTGCAGGTTGTCAGGTTTGTGCTGCCTACAGTGTGTGATGCGTGGTTTGGGACTATTAGTAATAATAGGGATATGGAAACACATAATAAATATCGGTCATAAAAAGTGAAACTGAAGTGAAACAAGTTGTAGGAAAAAGAAGGAAATGGTGTTTACCATCAACACCCCTTAGTGGCAAACCATCAGGATTTAGAAATGCTTCGAAACCCAAACAGTATGATGTAATGAAACCTCATTCGCAGAAATCACACAGATTTGAAGCTTTACGACATATTTAAGATAGTATAGACCTTAATTAGGGTGCCATATTGAATTGAACGAGGATGAAAATGAGGCTGTAAAGGATAGACTTGCCGTCTTTACAATGGAATGCTTTAATTTAATAAAGGTCCTAGATCATTTAATTTCGTAACTGACAACTTTCCAAATTGTTTTATGGTGTTTTTGTCTAATGATTTTTTTTTTTTCTTTCGGAAAGACGTTTGGTCAGCTGAAAAATTGATATATAACTTCTATACTTCTATCACTCACAACCTAATTATTTTGTCAAAAATTCAATATTATGCTACACTGACTAAAGTCTACAGTTTAACATTATAAAATAATAAATTCATTTCAATTCAGTGACCATTATTTGTTGTGCAGCAGAATAATAATAATAAAAAAATGTTTTAAAAGTGTCAACATGTTGGACTTACTGTTGGGTTTGTCTCCAGTGACATTGTCCAAAGGATGTTTGATGTTGACCTCGGTCAACTCAAATGCTCGGTTATCTTGGCCTTCCCTAAGCTCTTTCTCATCGCTGTCGGCCTCTGTGGCACTGAGCTGTTCTAGAACAGCTTGAGAAATGGGCAACATCATGGCTGTGGTGGCCGTATTGCTGATCCACATTGAGAGGAAGGCTGTTACGATCATGAACCCCATCATCAGCCTGCAGAAGTTAACAGACAGCAAAAACAGGTGAGTGTGTGAGTGAGACAGAAATAAAGTAGGCTATAAGTTTTCAATGTGTTTGATCTTACAAAGCAGGCCGAACTCCAACTATTAGGAGAACACTCAGGGCGATACGCTTATGGAGATTCCAGTGTTCAACAGCTATAGCCACCAGTAGACCCCCAATAAACAGCATGTTGGTGTCCTTTAGGTACTCAACACACACCTGAAAGACAAAGTAACAGTTACATATGTGACCCTGGACCACAAAACCAGTCTTAAGTCGCTGGGGTATATTTGTAGCAATAGCCAAAAATACACTGTATGGGTCAAAATTATAGATTTTTCTTTTATGCCAAAAATCATTATGATATTAAGTAAAGATCATGTTCCATGAAGATATTTTGTACATTTCCTACCGTAAATATATCAAAACTTCATTTTTGATTAGTAATATGCATTGCTAAGGACTTCATTTGGACAACTTTAAAGGCGATTTTCTCAATATTTTGATTTTTTTGCACCCTCAGATTCCAGATTTTCAAATAGTTGTATCTCGGCCAAAAATTGTCCTATCCTAACAAACCATACATCAATGGAAAGCTTATTTATTCTTACTTCAGTCTTACTTAAGACTGGTTTTGTGGTCCAGGGTCACATATTTAGTTCTGCTCAGTATGGCTTCGGTTTAAAATGCAGTACTAGCCTGCTGTTTACTATATACAGTGTGCACTGTACAGAGCCATCATAAAGACATGGTGATGGGAAAAGAAAATTAGATATTAGGAAAAATGATATTTCAATGCTTTTTTTGCTGTCTCACAAAACTTTTGTGTTCCGTTGTGAAACATTTGTGCTGCAAATAATGTGAGAAAATTGCTTTTGCAACACTTTTTCAAGAGAATGCAAAAGATTGATGATTGAATGCAGTTTCTCGGGGGAACACAACAGTTTTTCGTGTATTATATACACATTTATTTTAAACAATTGTTATGGGATTAGTTTGCTTTTCCATTATTTTAGGGTATAAAATGATGCAAAATGCTAATTATGTATTTTTTTTGTATGATACCTTTCCAGATTCCATGATGCCCATCATTGGGAAGAGGATGACAGGCAGCAGAGCAGTGATGGCCAGCGGCATGCACTCTGTACACCAGTACAGCGCCATCAGGATGATGGCAAAACCACATCTTGCCTCCTGAAGAACAGAAGTGTCACAGTGTAAGTGAACTAGGGAATACATCACCTATTCAAGTAGCAGTGGGACACATTTCTATAGAAGAGAATTATTGGATGTGAATGAGATGCATAACACATCAAAGATGCAATCTCAAATCTATGGCAATCCTCTCATCTTAGGTTGTCAAAGGGGAGGAAAGGGTGTGATTCAATTCTGTTAAAAATCTATTACATCTGGTGAAGGTACCAGGGGTCACTACTGTATCTCTTGAAGACCTATTTAGACTCATCTATCTTTATATGGCCAAAAAGTATATTGTGATAGCTTGTAATGTAAATCAATGCTTTGATCTTTATAGCAGTACAGTATAGCAGACTACTTACATAAAATATATATAAATATTAGTCATCATATAAATATCAGTCATCACTCTATATCTCCCAATATTATGGCTTAGTAAGATGATATTTAAAAGATATTTCATATTTGAATCATATTTAATTAGATACAATTTTAACCTCAATCCAGTAAATCCATTCTGAAATATTACTACAAATATAAAGGTTATTCGTATGTTTACTTTATAAAGATTGGTAAATATTTCACAGCAAAAACACACATGTACCATGACCTGAAGGTGAACATTTTTAAAATGATACTAAAAGGTCTTTTACTTGCTAAAAAGTATAAACTATCAGACGGTGGGAGGCATGTACAGTACAAGATTGTGTACAACAGGTTTTTCAGGAAAGGTTTGATCATGCTTTTTTTAATAAATTCAAACATTTTAATAATAGTATGACAGTATACTGTGGTACATGATGGGTTGTATAACAATCATATCTTGTGTAAGGGCTTTTAAAAAATACAAAAAATAAAATGCATTCAGTAGTTTAGCCACTTGGGGTTCTTAAATGTCTGATTGTTCCTTTTTACTCCAAAAATTGAGTCAAATATCCAGTTTTGTTCAATATTTTTTCAGCTGAAGCTCTCTAGGTCAAAGTAACCTGGTCTCCAGGTCTTGAGTAACTTTGGGCCATATGACTTTAAATTTTTTGTTTGTGACTTGAGGATGACCTCTGCAAGCTGTGTAAATAAAGTGTCCAGCATGCCACAGTTCATAAATACCAACAGTGCATTTTTCAGCCATCATTCAGCTGCTGATGAGGCTTATTTTTTCAATTTAAATCTTAAAAATGTAAATCTTTTATATTATTATTTTTTTAATGTTTAGATGTCACATTGTCATATTTCAGTAATTTGGCTATATAAATTCACAAACACAAAATGTAGATGCATAGAGAAAGTGTTTTGCTTAAGATGTTCATGACAAGGACTTTGCAGAAGATTTTCACAAAATACTTCTGCTCCAGCAGAAAAGTACTTACCGGAGTTGGGAAGACCAGCGGCAGGGGCAATATAAGAAGGGGGGTGATGAAGATGATGAAGTAGTTTCTGTTAACCCACAGCCAGCGTAGAACCGATGCCATGTCTCCTGGCCCTCAGCTGCAGATGTCAGGTGTGTGCTAGATGGAGAGTGCTGGAGAGTGCTGATGGTGTGAGTGCAGCAAAGGAGGTCGAGCGTGATCAATGTGTTTATAGGCATCGTCACATAAAATTAAACATTAACTGTGTGAACAAGAGGAGGGTAAATAGGGGTATGAAGAAGGGGAGGGTAAAAGAGATGGCAAACAAAAAATATTAACCCTTTTGTTATCTTTTTTTTAAAGCCACAATTCATTGTTTTGTTGGAGCACTGACTAATGGATTTATTGAAAGCATATCTGAACTTTTCACACTGCCAATGTCACCCTGATAAGTGTTTCTCTTACACCAGAGATATGTAAAGAATGTTTCTGTTCACTTCTGGGAAAATAAGAGACGAAAGTGCAGGAATATACTTTATGAAAATATAATTGTCCGTGTGCTGGCTTTTAAAGGGGTCATATGATGTTGCTAAAAAGAACATTATTTTGTGTATTTGGTGTAATGAAATGTGTTTATGCGGTTTAAGGTTCAAAAAACACATTATTTTCCACATACTGTACATTATTGTTTCTCCTCTATGCCCCGCCTTTCTGAAACGCGTCGATTTCTACAAAGCTCATCGGTCTGAAAAGCGAGGTGTGCTCTGATTGGCCAGCTATCCAGTGCGTTGTGATTGGCCGAATATCTCAAGCGTGTGACGGATGTGTTACGCCCCTTACCATATTGTGATGATGCCCTGTCCGGCCGGAGGACAAAAACATTAAAACCGAAGGCCAAACAAAGTAGTTTCGCTTTCACAACGAAACACAGCGCCTTCACGACATGGCGGCGCCGGCAACAATACTACAGCGAGAATAAAAGTTACGCCTTCTTTCTTTGCGTGAACATTTGGGCGGCGTTATGCAAATCTTCCCACATCGTGACGTAGACATGTGGGGGCGTGTTAGAACAAGCCGTTTTAGGAGGGCGTAGTTGACTCTTAATGTAATTACCAATATTACATGACATATCAATCACTCATTTGGACTTTCATTTGGCAGTGGCCATATGGATTGAGTCAAGATAATACTTTTAAATGAGTAACTTCCAAGTTCCTGAATTTGGACTTTTATCTCTTTTTCAATGACCCACTTATGGATTTTGGCCTCAATAAAAGACAAAGTCCTTTCATTTTACATTATCATCTAATTTACACAAAGCAGTCTGTGCTATTTCTGAATAATAACATCTGGCAGAACATCAAGTTATAGCCTTAAAGGAAATATCAAGAAACAAAAGTGATACGAGTTATCTGAGATTCCAGTTTATTCTTCAGTGCAAATTACTAATTATTTACTGAAATATCTAACAAGTACCTTAATCGCAATAATAAAAATTAACAATACATTTTTTTTAAGCTACTTTAAGTCACATTAATAAAGACAAGGTAACGTTTCAGCTTATAGCCACTAAATTCAAATAATAATGACTGGTTTATAAGAATAATGTTGACCTTATCCTAGTTTATTTATAAGCCTGTCTGTCAGTCTGTCTTTTCTAGAACCCGGAAAGAAAAAACAAGAAAAAAACACTTAAATGTAAAAAAGAAACAAAACACATAAATATAACATTTAAAGAAAAGGCTCAGATTCATTTATATATTTTGTCTGCTCTTTCTTTTGATGAAATAGTAGCAAAACACAAATATTTACAATAAACATTCTGCAAAATAATCTTTAGTCCCAAGATGAAATCGCTTTCTCCCAGCCATTTCTTTATCTCCTAATCCATTATTTTCCAGTTCATATAGTTTGCAAATAGATTTAAGAAAGAATGCAAGTATGTCATCACCGTCTGTTACATTTCAAATACTAAACACTCTGTTAACTCAAGACATCACAGGTGAATAGAGAAAATATTTTAACTCATAGATATCACCATGCTTCCCCTATTGATTAGTCACAGTACATTTAGACAATTGTTTTGAATTACAACATTTCTGTAATTTTATGTTTAAATATGCAACTGAGGCATTATCTAAATAAATATGCACTGATTTGCATACATTTCCAGAACAGAAATCTGAACATTGGATAAAGCCAGTTTCACAATTCTTGTTTCATTTTGTTGATATATTACAGTTAACGGTTTTTGCAGAGGGGATATGTATTTGTAATACATATTTTTAAATCAGAAAATACTTTCAACAGCCAGAAAAAAAATTAATAAATAAATAAAATCACCATATTTTTAGAAATTAAATAGATAAATCAGGAGAATGATATATGAAAAACGTTCATAATATACAGTAGATAGGAATAAAACTGTGTAATGACAGTTTGGTGTATGTACCATATGTAAGTAATGCAGTGCAAGCACAGTAAAATAAAGAATTAAAAAAAAGGAAAATTCAACAACAGAAATGATTGTGATACTAATAAGTCTATAGTGTAGAGCAGCTAATGGAGGTACAGTGCTATTTCCTCCAATGATTTCAGCACCTTGGTCAGCACACCTGTCATATTAATCTGAACAGCATTTTTAACATCTTTTGATGCAAATACTTCCGTAGTGGGCTTAAAGACCTTCCTCACTATAGCTCAAGGCTCTTATATATACATAAATGTTTTAAATACTCATCTCTAATTTGTTTCATTAGAAAGTTAAAGACTGAACATCAGCCGTGTCTACAAACACAGCGAGTTGAGTTGCTCAGACAGTGAAATCAATAGTTGGCAGCTCAATAGTAGTTCAATAGTTTATTTAGGCCACTTACACATTCCCACTTATTACAGTTATACTCGCTATTACCCGTATACATTTCAGACCTATTTGGTTACATCCTTGTTAAATTTTCTTAACTTTAAATCAACTAAAAGGCCTTAATCATAACATGAAGGATTAATGGTAACAGGACAATTTTGTAGTAATCATTGATTTTTTTTTTCAGACTAAACAAACAGGGTGGGTGACTTTTGGAGCCATCGATCGGCACAGATGTCTGAGCTGTCCTCTGTCATTCTTTCACACTGGTGATTCTAGAGCATTTCAGGCACTCGCTGCTGACAGATGTGCCATTAAAAATGAAATTTGGGATTTTATTGTGCCTTGTTTTGGCGACTTGTTTTGCTGCGGAGGGTGAGTGTCCCACAAGCTGCTTCATTATTATTCTTATTGAGCTTTCAATTTTTTTTTATTTTTTTTTATTTTCCACAGAAACATGCACGGGACGCTGTCAGAGTGGCTTTGATCCTACAAAGAAATGCCAGTGTGATAGAATGTGCAAGTACTATGGAAGTTGCTGTGAGGATTTTGACAGCGCTTGTCGAACAAAAGGTAAGAACTTAATGTACATTCAAATTGTAATAAATGTCAACCTTTTAATGATGCATTTTTATATACTGTACACTATGGTAAGATTTTGTAATGTTTTTTTTGAAAGAAGTCTCTTATGCTCACCAAGGCTGCTTTTATTTGACAAAAATATAATAACAGTAGTAATATTATAAAATATGATTACAATTTAAAATAGGTGTTTAAATATATTTTAAAATGTCATTTATTCCTATGATGGCAAAGCTGAATTTTCAGCAGTCATTACTCCAGTCTTCAGTGTCACATGATCCTTCAGAAATCATTCTAATATGCTGATGATTTGCTGCTGTTGATATTTTTGTTTGAAATAAAAAAGAAAATATAACACTGTACAAGCCTTTACTGTCACTTTTGATCAATTTAATGTCATTCTTAATAATAAAAAAAAAAACTTACTGACACCAAACTTTTCAACAGCAGTGTATATTTGTATTTGAATGTACTGAATGTAATGTTTAGTATTTATTTATTTACTATATATAGTACTTTCTACTGTCCTCGCTTATTACACGGTGAGCGTGATTTCACCAAGTACAACATGTTCCTGGATTAACATCCTTGTTGATCCTGGAACAACATTCCGATTAACCAATCAGAATTGAGGGATAACTTTTCAGGAAATATCTGTTTTAGGCTTACGATCAGGGTTAGGTGCTTCTACACCCTTGGAATGAATTATGGGTAGGGTTAGGTTTAGGGGTAGGGATTGGGTTTAGTCTATATTTTTGGACAGTAATGTTGATCCAGGATCAACAAAAGATGTTGATCAAAATCACAGCGACCCTTATTACACAGAGACAACTATAAGTAGGACACTCATGGGATGATTTCCAAGTGTAAACACTGGTGCTCTCAAAACAATGCTGTGTTTGTTTGAGCAGCTGGAACAGTCCTACATTGCAACACTGGCTCATCCAATGGTGTAAGTTTGGGGAGGGGCTTTCTGTTTTGTCTGACCAATAGCAGCTGAGGGGAGGGTTTGGGAAACCTGTTTACAATTAGGTTGTAATTGGGCACTTGTGGGGCTCTGTGGACTTTACCCTGACTTTACTTCACTGTGAAATTAACTTTTAAAACACAATTAATATAAAATATACAACATATACACATACATATATGTGACCCTGGACCACAAAACCAGTCTTAAGTCGTTAAGTCGTATATTTTTAGCAATAGTCAAAAAAACATTGTATGGGTCAAAATTATCGATTTTTCTTTTATGCCAAAAATCATTAGGATATTAAGTAAAGATCATGTTCCATGAAGATATTTTGTAAATTTCCTACCGTAACTATATCAAAACTTTTTGATTAGTAATATGCATTGCTAAGGACTTCATTTGGACAACTTTAAAGGCGATTTTCTCAGTATTTTGATTTTTTTTGCACCCTCAGATTCCAGATTTTCAAATAGTTGTATCTCAACAAAATCTTGTCCTATCCTAACAAACCATACATCAATGGAAAGCTTATTTATTCAGCTTTCAGATGATGTATAAATCTTAATTTAAAAAAATTGACCCTTATGACTGGTCTTGTGGTCCAGGGTCACATATTGTATAACTAAACAAACGAAAGGAAAAAATAAAACATGAACAACCAAAAGGACATCAGCACAACAAACCATTTTTTTTGCATTTGCTTTCCGAAAAATCCAGAGATGTAGCTACCCCACCTCTGATTTTAAATATTAGCCTGAAGAGTCGTGAAGT